CTGCGCATATTAACACTCGCTACACTTCACATTAGCGGGACCCTCATGCATCGAATCATTCAGGATCAAGGAAAGACTATTAGATACAATTCTAATCATCGTCAGAGTGCTCCTGGAGATCCTTTTCTTTTCAAGATCCAAGATTTCTTGAACAAGGGTGCAAGATTTCCAGATCAAGGAAACAAAATCCGGAAAAGCACTTCTTTTTCCCCTACTACAACACCAGAGTATGAGACCCCCAAATCCCAAACCAAGAACGGTCAAGATCCAAGATTTCTTGAACGGAACATGCAGGATTTCCAGATCAAGGAAACAAGAACGCTCACAAAAGCGAAAAAAAACTCCAAATAACTCGACGGAAGTCTCAATTCTCGATGGATGAACAGAGATCTCAACCCCAGAGTGAACAAGGCAGCTGGAGATGCAGGCTTACCAGGTGGTGAAGAACTTGATTGATTGGGCGATGGCGAAGGCCAGGACGGCCGAGATCAGCGGGTAACTGTGGAAGACGGAGGAGTGCGCGATCGAGGACGAGGGCGACGGCGAAGAAGAGCTCCCCAATTCGCCCATCTCTCTCATGGCTGAGGCATGGCAGGGCGAGAGAGAGAGGGGGGGGGGGGGGGGCGAAGAAGCACGTCTCCAGGACTATGCCGCCATGGAAATGGTTTCGTTCACGTCTGGACATGGAGAGGTACGAACTACAGTCTCATTCATACACCTAGACATACCTTCTCTGTGATTGGATTTAAAAAATGGGGCCCCGCTTGATCCGAATCGAGTGCCACCTCTGCGCGAACGAAAAGAGAGGTAGACGGTGCGGGTTCGTCAGAAATATGTGGAAGAAGTATTTTATTGTTCTTCTTTAATCATTATTGGGATCTTATGTTTGTCACCTCTGTTCATCTTTGCATGCCAATTAGAGCCCATGTGGGTTGTCTCATGAGTGCTGTTTGGATATAATGATTTGATTTGATTTTGTTTTGTTTATTTGCCAATATGTGATTCTAAAAGCATTCAATAGTTCATATATATGATTAAAAATTTTAATGATGCAGTAATAGGACTAATTAATTCAATGAAAGTGTGTAAAAATACTTCCATTTCTCTTAGGAAAAATAAAAAAAAAAATATTAGGCAAGTAATAGTTTTGGATGATTCCAGTATTTGCTCTTTGGTGTTCTATGCATACCTTTAAGCCTTTCATTGATTGATTCCAGTTGTATTTGTTTGGGTTTCAAAGGGGTTTCACTGTGTAGTGCAGCAACAACATGATCTTGACCCAATTTTGTTTTGGGTCTCTCTTTCTTTGAATCAATCATCCACTTTTGCTGTCCTCCTACATGTGAAGAAGCTTCATTCCTCTGTGAGGTTGATGGAGAAAGCTATGCCCACCTGTGGAGAAGTCAGTGGAGTTCATAGTGGCCATGGATTGGAGGTGTTAAGACCTTTGCATATGCAATATAATTACTGCCTTAGCAGAACATAATAGTTTCTATATGGTGGCTGCAGATGGAACTTAACAATTCACTTCATGCAATATCTGTCTTAGAGGAATCCTTCACATCTTTATCTTGCTTGCTGTTCCTTTTACAGGGAAGGAAAAGCTCAGAATTCTGCCATGGTGACAAAGCAGAGCAATGCTGAAGTATTTAGGACCTTCATTCACTGTCAACAAGCTAATTTTGATCAATCAGATCAGATACATAAATATAATTTTCAGTTACATCAATTTTGCCTAACTAGAAAATTTTATAGTTTTTGCTAAACATCAATACCATTATAAACGATAAGGGTAAAATTATCCATCCCGTAGAAACTCGACACGGGGCATGAATCTATTGAATTGTCACATGAAACTATTTTTAGATAAAGAATAATTTAGAAAATATCCTCTAATTGTAAACGGTTAGGGACCCTCGACTATAAATATATGATTACTCAATAATTATCTTAATTTTTTTTTCTCACTCTCTTTATTCTTCATACTGGGAAATCAAATAGCTTATGTATCCGAAGTATCAAGTCCGAGTCTTACTACGATGATCTTGTATTGTAGAAATGAAGGCTTACGAGACTAAAGCCGACTAACTATCCTTCTATTATCATCCCTTGATGTAAATTATTGATGCATTCTGTTGTTTCACTGAGATGGAACAAGTATCAGGTTTTCCTTAGATCATGTCTAAGCAGAAGAATTCAAATGAGCTGATCTTATGGAACAACTCAAATCAGTGGCTGATGACAGCCAAACAGGTTGCAGACTCTTCATACTGTTTTGTGATGAATGTAGCACTTCATATGTCACCCCCACCCCCCCCCCCCCCTTCCCCCACATTTGATGTCACCACAGTCCACCAACAAATAGTCAATTCATTCCCTTGACCTTTCGCAAAGGCCACCTATCAGTGTCTCATCTCATGTCAACCAGCAATCTTTGCTGACAAGAACATCCCCTGTCTGAGTTTTACAGTTACCAGTCAACCATGTAAGTTTCCTGATCTCAAGATTTGCCACCATCTTCCTTGTAGCTTCAATCTTGGTACATGAACTAGCTCATCCTGGTTTATGATAATCTTGTCAGGATCTGCAAGAGGACCCGATCCATTCATGCCTGGATTTTTTTGGCACTCTTATCAATCCACCAATTGATCATTCATGTAGGACCACAGTCCTTCCCATCTTGTTTCAGACATTAAAATGTAAGCAGACAGTCCCACCATGATTCTTCATGGTGCAGAAACCCTATTTCTTTTGAGCATGGTCCTTCGATTAGAGCTAGGTGTAGGCTCTCCTTATTCAAGTTCTATCCAATGGATCACATGAAAACAAAGTGAATTCTTGTCTGAATGGTGCATGTCAGAGTGTCTGCATGTTGTGCTAGAGGAAGTCTTCTTCCTTGTCTCCTGCCAGCTCAATACCCTCACAAAATGGGCATCAGATGTGGTGAAGCTACTGCATGTGATGGAGTTGTTTGCATCAGCTGCTGAGATGGCTGTCAAGCTAAAGAACATTTCTTCCTTTCTACAGGCCATGTGAGTTTGGCCATTTGCAGTTTTCTTAGTAGCTTTTGAATAGTGTTCCTAAGTATCTTTATTTTTCATTTGCTGGTGGAAAAAGACAGTTATATTTTACTGCAGACACTGTTCATGCAGCAGAAAGTCTGTCAATAGAAAAGTTATGAAGAGTGCTTTTAATATTATTTATTCCATTGCAATTTTTCATGCTTTATTTGATCAAAACACACATCATGAGACTGAGATAGGTATAAGAAGGTAAGAAGTAATCAACTAAAGTGCTAAAGCAATCATCAAATATTTCATTTGTTATAATATTTCGATTAGTCTTACGTCGAAAATAAGTAAAATTAATATGATGGATATATTACTATTAATTTTTATTAAATATTTTAATTAATAATTTAAATTTTGATAGATGAATTATCTCATTGGATTGAGACATTTGGATGCTCAACCACTAGTCAAAGAACAAGAGGACTAACAAATCAAATAAAATCCATGTCTTCTCTTCAATCATTCTTCTCAGACTCACCTCACAAGCCTCCAAACCAAAGCCTACCATCTTAATCATGTCTGGAAGAACCAAAGGAAAAGGTAAAAGATAAAGAAAAAAGAACTCTTCGCTGCTGTCCTCTTTCAATCATTCTTCCTGGTGGAGGACTTCCCTCCAAAGCCTCACCTCACATGACTCCAAACACATCCAACCATCTGCTCCTACTGTTTGCATGGGCCTTTGCAGCAGAAAGGAGAGGAGGAGAACTGAATGCATGATGCCTTCCAATCTGCCATCTCAAGGCAGCTGTTTGGGAGGAGTGGCATGCATGATTCCTACAAATCTGCCATCTCATGGCAGCTGTTTGAAAGAGTGGCTCATTGTCATCATCCCCCATTCTTCAAGCTGACTAAACTACTCTTTTATTGCATTGCAATCACATAGATACAGGATAAAGGAGGATGGGCAGCCCTGTACTTTTTGACTTGGCTCCTCCTTTTTAGGTCTATTGTGCAGCACTGGATGATGGTTTGTCTTTGGGATGACACTCTTATCCTCTGGTATTTGGTTCTGTCACTTTGAGAGAAGAAGTTTTTGACTGCTATTCTACAACTCAGCAGGGCAGTGCTATCTCAACATCAGTCAACAGTGCTGTTTCTCAAGTACTATTTTTATACAGATGTCATGTAACCATTCATTTATTGGAATGCAATTTAAATTGGTAGATGATGGTGCAGAATTGCCTTTTAGCAAATCATATCTACAATTGATGGGACTTTCTTTTTATTGGTCATAACAAAAGCATTAAAAGAAACTAAGCCCTACTTTGATTCTGACATATAACAACAAATTCAGACAAACTTTGCAGTCCATCAATTGCAACACTGTCTTGATTTGAGAACAGTAACTTATAGATGAGATCAAGCTAGTGGGTAAAAGATGATTAATAAGCTAAATTACAATAAAAAAAAGTAAAACAAAAAAAATGGATGGTTAATAACAAAATCATATGATCAAATCTCATCTTAATCTTTAATATTTATTTTAATATAAAGCTTTATAAATATCAATTAGCTTAACCTACAAAATGATAACTTTCAAATAAGATGATTACTGAGGTAAATTACAAGCATATAAATAGTAAAATTATTTTATATTTTAGACTAGTCTAACTGATGAAAATTCATATTCCATATTTATCTTTTTAAAAATAAATTCTCTGTCTGTCTTAAATTTGTTTAATAAAATACATCTAATGGATAAAGATCTTTATCATTGATAATAGAATCATACAATCAGATCACATTTATATCTAAAATTATTTCTTTTTCCCCATACTGATGGGAAAACAAAGAACATTAGCTTCAAAATTGAAATCAATGGTCCTTTGGGTCTTACCTTGGAATCAAAACCTCATCAGATTCAATTCACTGTTTTATGCTCCCAATGCCGACAAAAAGCCTAGTTAAATAGCCACTAAGCTCAAGCTTCGCTATCTTCCAACTTGCAGTATTCATTGGCGACTTCTCACTGGTAAGAGTGGAAATGGAGTGTGAGAACTGCTACTCCAATGCCTATCCATCCAAAGCTGCGTGATCTATCCCAAGAGACCACACTTCCCTCTACTCTTCGATCTTCTCCCTCTGTTCTCTGTTCTCTCTGGCTGTGGTCTCTGCTGAGCTCTGCCATCACTGCTGCTGCTGCTGATACCGCCCTCCATTAATGTTCAGAGACGGTTGCCTCTCGTCTCAGGCGACGCCCATGTGCTCTCTTTAATTCGCGCCTTGCCCTTTCCAAAGATTCCAAGTCGGGGTCGGTCTGCAGTCAGTATTCTTGGAGCAAGGTTGCTCCTTGAGGGGGAGGATTAAGAGGAGGTGAAAGATTCGCGTACTTTCTTTGGTTTCGCCGCCGCCTCCTTGGTGGGTTTTGCTCAGGTTGCTTCCGGAGCTGAAATTTTGGCCTAAAAATCACTTCTTGGTGGATGTCGGTGCGGAATTCTTGACGTTCCTCTTCGTCTTGGTTTTTGGTTCGTGAGTTGGAAACAGACGAATACGCTGGATTTGGTCGAAAAGTTCGGATCTTTGGGTGAATTTAAAGCTGTTTATTGGAATTGAAGGCAGGATTTGGGTGCGTTTCTGGTAATATCTCAAGCTGTCGTCGTCTTGTTGGTCATTATTCTGTGGTCTGATGCAGGTTAGAGGAAGCAAAGGGTGTCAACGTTGCTGCAAAGTTGCAGTTCTTTCAGTGGAAAGAAATCTTTTTTCTTGGATTTAAACAAGGAATTTAGAAGCTCTGTGGCAAGGAAAGACTCTGCTTCCCCCTTAACCATAGGTTCCGTCCAAAATGGCACCCTCTTTTGTGTTCCCAGCAGTCATCTTGTGTTGCTTGTTAGTGTTCCCTCTAACCGAGCAAATGCAAACGACGCACACCCAGTTGTTGCTGCAGCTGAGGAAGCAGCTGGAGTTCCCAAAACTGCTGGATGCTTGGAATAACACTGATAACCTGTGCTACTCGCCGTCTTCGCCGAATCTAAGCATCAGCTGCGATGGAACCTCCGTCACAGAGCTCAAGATAGTGGGCGATAAGCTTGCAAAGCCTGGTAAATATGATGGTTACTCGATCCCTGACATGACTCTTTCATCGGGCTTCGTTGTTGATTCTTTTGTGACAACTCTGGCTAGGTTGACTACCTTGAGAGTAGTCATCTTGGTTTCTTTGGGGATATGGGGTCCTCTCCCGGACAAGATCCATAGAATGTATTCGCTTGAAGTGCTCGATCTGAGCTCTAACTTTCTGTATGGTACTGTCCCTCCAAAGATATCTGTCATGACGAAGCTTCAAACATTTTCCCTCGATGGAAACTACTTCAATGATACTGTTCCTGATTGGTTTGAATCATTGACGAACCTCTCGGTTTTGAGCTTGCAGAATAACAGCCTGAAGGGTCTGATGCCAGCATCGATTGGTAGAGTAAGAACACTAACTGAACTTGCTTTGTCGGGCAATCACATTTCAGGTAAAATCCCTGATCTAAGTAGACTAAACAGCCTCGAGATGTTGGACCTGAGAGACAACATGTTGGACTCTGAGCTGCCAGTAATGCCGAAAGGGCTGGTCACCATCTTGCTTAGCAAGAACTCACTGGCTGGTGAGATTCCACAGCAGTTTGGGGAATTGGATCGACTCCAACACCTTGACCTATCATTTAACCTACTCGAGGGGACTCCACCTGCAGCATTATTTGCTTTGCCAAACATCAGCTATTTGAACCTGGCATCCAATATGCTTAGTGGATCACTTCCAAGTAGTTTAGCTTGCAGCAGTCAACTTGGGTTCGTTGACATTTCTACTAACAGACTCTCTGGTGAATTACCTTCTTGTCTTAGCTCAAATTTGAATAAGAGGGTTGTAAAGTTCAATTGGAATTGCTTGTCTTCTGACCCCCAGCATCAGCACGTGTCTAAATTCTGCCAAGTGAATCACATGGATGAGAAAGATTCCAAGAGGAAGAACGTACCCTTGTTGGTTGCTGTCATAGGAGGAATTCTCTTAATTATGCTATTGCTTCTGTTAGTTCTTTTTGTTTCTTGTAGAAGGAACTGTCGCCGAGCAATAGCAGAACAACGACTATTGCCAAAGTCAGCACCAGATAATTCACCCACAGGAATCTCGTCTGAGCTTCTTGCTAATGCAAGTAAGTAATCTTCTTCCAGTTTTTCAGCTTTTCTAATCAGGATATCCATCGTGTTGCATCCAGACTTTGGAGAGCCTTCATGCTTGACAAAAGATGTTGCGGTTTCTTCTCTGCCTTTCTTAAGGCATTCACTGTACATACAATTCACTGTCTTTATATATTGCTCATATATGTTAGTAAAGACAGAAAAGAAATATTGTCTGGATGATTCAGAACATGATGGTAAATGTTTTTTTGTCCATCTTTCTCTCCAGCTGAGAGGTACTAGTAGTAGCTAGGTCTTAATTTTCCAGCACATATGCATTCCGATAAATTGTTGGTTTACTCTTCCCGACTGATAGGATTGTCAGGGGGTTCATGCTAATACGTACAATCTTTGTGTCAATTGAAAACAGTTTCAAATTGCCCTCAGGACGACCTGGAACCATAAAAATAAAGTGGCAGACCAGGGCAGCACTCAAATCACTAGTAGTGATGAAGAAGAATGATGCCCTAAACAGACCTTTTTATTCACCTGCCTGAGTTTGTGTCAAGTTTTCAAATATAAGTTTGTATAGTATAGGCATAAACTATTAGAAAAACTACATGCTAAAAGCACTGGAAACACTACTCGCTATAAGCTTATGATATTTTTCCCTCATTCTCCTAATGCCCTTAGGAGAATAGTTTTTTCTCTATCTAGGAGCCTGTTCATAGCCTGTGCTTTCATGATTTAGCATTTTTTCGTTTAAAAATTTTATTACATCTAATAATGCCTGGCTTGTAAATTATGTCATTTCTGAAGTAAACTAACACAGTATGGAAAATTTTGGGAGATTCAATCATTTATTTCTTCTTCTTTTCAGGGTATATTTCTCAAACAAGGAAGCTAGGAACACAAGTGTTGCCTATGTATCGGGCATTTTCCTTAGAAGAGTTAAAAGAAGCAACAAATAATTTTGAGCAGTCAGCATATATAGGCGAAGGTTCAACTGGCAAGGTGCTTACTGAAATTCAAAATTTTAACTCTTGCACTGAAAAAAAAAGAAGCCATTTATGCATCAATAAATTTCATACAAGTTCAATCAAAACCCAAGAAAAGACAATAAGAAGTGAGTCTAAATGTGAAAGAACATTTGGTATGTAGATCAGTAATTTTTTTCCTTTTTGCAGGTTTAGATAAAATATTTAAAAAGGCTATTCGTCACTTGATAACATTGCTTCTCAATTAAATGCTGAGGCTTAGATGCTACTTGTTTTCTGTTTGGTCATTTTGTGCTGACACCTTTTAGGTAGAAAATTGAAATTTCCTTATTCTTATGTGGAACAAAGCATGTTTAGTCATTGAATTTTTTACATAAGACTTAGAATGTCAATATAAAAAAAAAGAGGCAGAAACAAAGAAAAACAGGTGTAATCAGATTTCTTTCTCATTTTGTGCTACCTGCTTGCTGTTTGGTATATTTCAAAAACATATCCTTTTAATTTGTTAAAGTTGTTGTTTAAAGAGAAGAAATATGAGGAGAGTAAGATCAAAGATAGAAAGAAGTTTCTACTTTTATCCTTTTAATTTTTAAAAATAGGAAGCCCTTGAATCAGTCAGTTAAACATAAGAAATCCAACTGATCCTCCAGTTTCCTTTCTTTTCATATTGAAACTCCTCAAATACAGAGTAAGCTACAATTCAATAGTACCCTTGAATAGCTACATGTAATATTCCAGCCTCAAGTTTTTATTATGTATCAACTGGGACTCTTTTTTCTTAGGGTAGTTCCAAGTAGGATTCAATCACTACAGAAAACCATGAACCATTTATAACAAATGCCAAAATTCAGGCTCTTTCAGTTGTCAAAAACCAAAATTAAACTCTTAAAGTTTAATTGGAGTTTATTTCATGTGTCATGTTAAGTTCACTTTTGTCTAATACTGGTTTTCTAAATCAATGAAATCTTTTATTGCCTCTCCTCTATCAATCACCTTTAGAGATGATTTGCTCTCTATGACCGATCATCACATCATTTAACTTTCTTCCATGCACCCATTCGTTTGAAGGAAGAAGATAAGAAAGATAAGGAATTCCCTATGAAGGGAAGCTAAAATTTAAGGGGAGCAAAATATTTGATCCATGGACCAATTAAAATGTTGTCTTAGTCAATCCATAAATTTTACTGGAGGCACTCAAATTTATTTTCTTATCTTGTGCTGCTTGATTCCCAGCTTGGGATAGATCACTCTGGTAAACGAGGTTATTTACAGTAAGTTATTATTGAGGCAATAAACATCTGGCTCCTGACATGAAATATATGTGATTCTGTTGTATTCATTGGTAAACTTGTCACTAGTTGTTAGTGTTATATGTATAGTTTTAGCCTTTTACTAATCTTCTTGCCCTAGGAAGAATTGTACAAATTTAAACCTCAAAGATGTTTAAGAAAAAACTTATATTTTGGTTGCTTGGATTTCTCACTTTTCCCTGCTCCCAAGCATTAGCCTTGTTCCTCAATTTGCCTATGGATTTAGAAAATTGATATGAATACCCTGATTTATATATTCTCTTATAAGGTTTTTGGATCTTCTAGTGTGCAGCATGAAACATGCAGTTCCTGTTTGCAATTATTAATCAAAAATTAAAAGTGGTTTTCTATGCTACTACCAGAAGCAATTTTCATTGAAATGTGATTCGGTACAATTACAAAAAATAAATACCATTTTATGGTTCAAGTTATTTTGAAGTATGCTTAGTTTTTAGTTCTCGAGTCTCATTCAGAAAGGAAGCTAATAATAGTGTGAAATTATGTATACCACTTTCTTTTAAAAATACCACTTTGTATATTGCTCACAGTACTTCTGAGTTTTCTTTTTTTTTTTCTTTCAGCTGTACAAGGGCAGAATAGAAAATGGAACCTTTGTAGCTATAAGATGCTTGGCATTGTTCAAGCGATATTCTATTAGAAATCTGAAGCTTCGTCTAGATCTACTCTCAAAACTTCGCCATCCCCATTTGGTCTGCCTCTTGGGGCACTGCATTGATACTGCACAAGATGATTCTAATGTCAACAGAGTCTTCCTTATCTACGAATATGTAGCTAATGGAAATCTTCGTACTCATCTTTCTGGTAAAAATGCTCCTTACAGTGTTAATGTTTTTCATGCCTTGGACTTTTTAACGGTTTGGTTTACATGCACTTTTTTCTGCAGAATGCAGACTGGAGAGAGCTCTTAAGTGGCCAGATAGATTGGCAATTTTAATAGGCATTGCAAAAGCAGTCCACTTTTTACATACCGGTACTATTCCTGGTTTCTACAATAATCAATTGAAAACAAGCAATATTTTGCTTGACGAGCATTTGACCGCAAAAGTGAGTGACTATGGTTTGTCCATTATAACGGAAGAAATTTACAAACATGAGGTTTGTATTAAGGTTAACAGAGTGAAAATATATGCACTTCTTTTCGAGCTATGATTTTGATAATATTTCAAATATTTGATGTGTTGATGCTAATGAGAATCTCCTGCTGCAGGCAAGGGCAGAAGGTCACAAACAGAGCAGATCTCTATCATTGTGAGTAATGCTTTTTCCCATCCTTATTGAACAGCTAATTTCTGTTTTGTTTTCTTTTTACATGAACCAAGAATCAGCCAAGTAAAAAACCATGTTAAGATAGATCAGACCGATCAACTATAAAAGATCACATTTACTAATATTTCCATGTATAACATTGCCTTTGTAGGGAGATGGTAAACTTGGAGGATGATGTTTATTCATTTGGCCTCGTCTTACTTGAAGCACTAATGGGACCAGCACTATCCGAACAAGGTGCCGATCATTGTACAAAAGAACTGGTGAGATCAATTTCCTGTTCATGATTGCTACAGTAACAAACATATTAATCAAGATAAGCACAGTGAAAGTGGAAACTATGCACTTTCTGTCAAATATCTTGATGTTGGCGTTTCTTGAACTAGTGGTGCCTTTTTATTTTGCCCTTCATAAGAGTGATGGCAATGAGAAATCATGTCCAGATCATGTCCATTTCAAAAAGAAATGGCATTGCAAGATGTTTATGATGGTCAACGGTCTGTTATTTAAGTCTACTCATAGCTTAAATTGGATATGCTATTCGCAAATGGAAATGCTACCGAAAAAAACTTCTAGAAAACCAGCTTTTACTTGTGCCTCCGATGTTAACTAGTAAGTTTCATTTGAATGCTATTTGCAACGAAAAAGGCCACAAAAGCTTTGAGAGACCAGCTTTTGCTTGGGAATTGAAAACAATCATTCCTCATAAGCAAAGTTTATTAAGATGCTTTTATTTGTTAACATCAGTCCATATATTATCATACTACAACATGTAGCCATCATAAGAAATTTCACATTTACCTTCTCGCAAATGGAAGATGAATTTGTTTCGACTGAAGAATTTCTTTCAAACGCTGTTTCCTATTTGCAGGCAATGTTATCAACTGGCCAAGCAGAACAACGGCGCGTTATTGACCCAGCTGTGCTGGCTTCTTCCTCACAAGAGTCTCTATCGACTGCGATCTCAATCACAAGCAAATGCTTGTCGCAGGAACCTTCTCACCCTTCAATAGAAGATGTGCTGTGGAACCTGCAGTACGCTGCACAGGTTCAGTCCATGGCTGACGGCGATCAGAAGTCGGATATTCTATCACAAGCATGATCCTGATGTGGAATACAAAGAACAGGGAGCATAACAGTTCCAAGCCAACGCGATCCTTTGACACCCCATGAGCAGAGACATCAAGTGACCACAGGCCCCAAAGCTTGCAGAACTGAAATCCCAAGTTGGCATTGCCAAAGAGAGATGTTGTAAAGGGCATTCCCTGTTCATGTATTCCATTTCATATTATTCATAATCCCATTGTCATGGTTACAATGTACATTATATTCCCTAATCTATAATTAATTTTCTTCCTCCATTTCATTGATTGGAAAGCAGATTCTTTGTTTCATCCATGTTTCTGTTCTAGTATGTGATGGAATACATAAAAATTAGTTGTCCATATGCATCACCATCATTATCTTTTATTCAGAAAATTTGTCTTTATTGTCTACAATGCACAAAAAAAAAGTCCACCGTGGGGTCCATCGGCCACGTTTCGTGTACCCTGTCTCGGATGAGACAGGCGATCTGTGGTCGTAGGATTCCGCACGTGTTTCCAACTTCCAACTGTTGATTTGTTTATAGTTGTTCCTTTACTTCCTTTTTCTCTCTCTCTCTC